CCCCAACTCACTCCCCGCTCCCAGGCACCTGGGCTCTACAGAGTTGTATTCCATTCACTCTTGGGAAACGTCTTGTGTGGTGGGTGCGGTTTTCACCCCCAAGCTGGGCTGGGGTCTTCACCTGGCCCATCTGTCATACACTGTGACTTGATCTGAAAACTGCCTGTTCATTGCCACGTGGTCTCCCTACCTTGTCTCCCCTGAATTTCAAGCATCCTTCTGTTTGAGGACAGACATTCAGAGGGTCTCAGTGTGCTGCAGTACAGACAGCATGGCAGAGTACATCCTCATACATGTGCCGTAGACAGGGAGACCATCACCGTGGCCTTCCACTGTGCCTGCCCAGGCTATCCCAGTCTGCCTTCCCATCCATACCCTGAAGTCATGCAAAAATCCCATCTTCTGATTCACCAAGACGGAGTGACCCCTGTGTCAGTGTGCACAACCCCAAACCCTCTGCCCACGGTCCTTTCTGGAAAGCTAGAGACTCAACAGTTAGGTGGGCTGATGCCCCCACCACAGAAGTACTATGCTCACTCAGAGCTTCGTTGTCCTAAGGATACTTTGTGGACACAGGGGCTTAGATCAACCAAAAACAAAACCAAACAAAACCATCAGAAATCATCTAAGTGCTAGGGTTCGAATCCCAGATCTGCTCTGCAGTTCTCTGTAATGGGAAATGAACCCCTGCTTTCTTGTCTCCATAATGAGTCCTAGGACCAAGGCTGTGCATGTCACAGGAAATCAAGGAGACCATGACTGGATCCATCAGCACCTCCCTGCCAATACAAGCCAGTTTTCTCACTAATGTGACTGTGAATATCGATGGTGGTTACCACAGCAACAGCCCAACTCTAACAACTGCTGATGTCCTTACATCACAGAGTCCACGAAGCTGGTGGTGGCAGGGTTGGTTGATTGACTGGCTGATGTTGGACTGGTTGCTTTTGTTCTTACCTCTGCTCTTTGGTGTCCCACACTTAGGAGAGATTAACATATCGGGGTTCATAAAAAGGTATCAGAGTCCCTGTATCCCCTTGATGACCTCACTGCCTTCTACCAGACCCTGCCTCCTGATGAGGCCACACCTCAGAGTAACAACATCATCTGGGTACCAAACCTCTCAACACAGCAGCCTTTGGAGGCCATTTAAGTTCTAAGCCATTGCAGGAAGACACAACCATCGCATCCTCCTTCTAATCTAAACAGTCACGCTCCTAGCCATCTGGCCCTGCACTAGGAATGGGTCAGGCTTTTATTGTCTGGAGTCAGTCTTGCACTGCTCTGTGAACCAATCATGGCGATGACGCTGATTGGCAATGCCCACATTGCACGCCCCGCCCCCAATTCAGCCAGGGGAATGGAAAAAGCCCTCCCTGGTGAGTTGGGTAGAGACTAACAGATCCCCAGACACCCTGGGCAAAACTGCCAAGCTCCCCTTCTCTGACTGCGGGGAACTGGGAGGGCCCCCTCTCGACATTTCAAAGAGCTGTCATTGTTCCTTGCCTTTATTTTTTATTTTTATTTTGCCTTTCCACATTTTCTAAATTTCTAGAATAAACATGAGTTTCTGGCAATATTTTTAAATTATTAAAAGGCGACCCAAGGGTACTGAGGATAGGATTTGGACACAGATGCGGCCTGGCTTTAATCCAGGCTGCTAATGGCTTTCACTGTCATCCCTTCCAGGTACAGTTTGCACTTTAACCACAGCCAAAATGCTGCGACTCTGAGGATTGGGGCCACTGAGTAATCTCTCGAGGTCCCGGCCTGTGGTTTTCCTCCTAGGGGGCACTTGCCCCATGAGCGTCTCTCTGGGTTAAAACAACAGCTTCTAAAAGTGCACCCGAAGGCCAGGCTCTCACCTGGGAGATGGGGGGGAGGGGAAGCAATGCCCATTTCTCTCCTTCAGAATGCAACGAGGTTCATGAGACCTTGCAGACGTAAGCCCAGTCTTTAAAAGACCACAGCTTTCCCACAGGGTCTCTGTCTTAGCCCCCTTTCTATTTCTGTGGAGAGACAGCACAACCATCCCACAGCAGCATCCACAGAGGAGCGGACCTCTCAGGACTCAGCAGGACGGTTATCTACAGCGCTCACGCTTTTTTGCGCATGCGCACTGGTCCAGGAGGGAGGCTTCATGCCCACATTAAACCTTTGTAGTGTACATGTTCTGGCCAATTTCCCTTCTAGGAATTTATTCTGAGTTAAGTTAATCAAATATTACACACACACAATACTCAGCCCAAGGTCACTTATAAAGGCGATAACTCGAAAATAACCCAAATGTGTAACCAAGGAGACGATGACGCAAACTACACAACAGCCCGCAGAGAATTGTGCGGCTATTCAAATGAGCAGAAAATGCCTTTGTAGTCAGGAAGATGCTGGGGGCGGAGGGGGGGGTAGGGTCTGATTTGAAAAGTGGAGCACCAGCCTGATGGGAAGCTTCTTAGTTTATTCTGGTCCCACCCTTTTGCCTTCAGGGTGTTTCTTCTGGCTCAGGTTCCCAGAATTCCTCGGGGCTCCAAACCTCCCTGGAAACCTGTGTTCTGTGCTCTGAGCTCTCTCCTGTTGCCTGGTAATAAAGTGAGTCCTGCCTGTGACTGGCAGCCCTCCATGAGCTTCTGGCTTTCTGAGGACTTGATCTGTCTGATCTACTTGAGTAGGGGGATAATGGGAGCCCGCTGGTTTCCCTAGAGGATGGCTTTCCTCCAGACTCCACAGCCTGTTTCCCTACTGAAGTGGATACTCTTCAATTCAGATCTTTGGCTGGAGGCAATTGTCACCCCTGGAGTGGTCGCCAGTCCTGGGAGCCGGGAAAGAAGCATCCAGATGCTCTGATCCCGTCCATTGGCTGCTGCGGTAAAATTCCTACATCCACGTTGAGGAATCTCCTTCCAGGCCATGTCTTGGCTCCCAACACCCTACCATGCACCAGGGAACACTGTAAAAGCTCAGGGACCCAAACGTGACATTGTGGTGTTGCTGATGGTCTTATCTGGACTAAGTGTGTCCAGGATCTTGGTGCTTTAATCAAAGAATTGGAAACAAAGTGGCAAAGAGCCGCCCATTGTTTGATTTAAGGACACAGTTAAGGGGGCTGGAGAAAAGGTTCACCCTTTCAGAGCACAGACTGCTCTTGCACAGAACCCAGGTTTGGTTCCCAGCACCCATATCAGACAGCTCTTGACCACCTAATAACTCCAGATGACCTTTCCTGGACTCCAAAACTACTGCATGTGCATGCATGTGCATGCACAGAGAGAGAAAGAGAGAGAGCACGCAATGTGGAATGTCTTACTGTATGCTGTGAATATATTTTTATTACCATTTGGCCAATAGCCAGGCAGAATAGAGCCAAGCCGGAAATCCAAACAGAGATACAGGGAGAAAAAGAATCAGAGAGACACCAGCAGCTGCTGGAGAAGCAAGACATGAGATCATGCCACAGCCACATGGAAATCCATAGATTTAAAAAAAAATGGGTTAGTTTAAGATGTAAGAGTTAGTTAATAATAAGCCTGAACCAAATGGTTTGTAATATTTAACCTCAGACTGGTTATTCAGGAACTGACTGTCAGGAGAGAAACTTCCAGTTACAACACAGAGTTAGTGTCTATTCCCACCCCCAACACAAATAATTAAATGATAAACTATTTAAAGAGTGCAGACCACACACAAGGAGCCCACTGCTCCTTGAGCTAGTGTGGCCAAGAGCAGCAGCTACGGCTTGGGGCCTCCGTTAATGAGTCCGGGAGGAGGAGTTAGTGGTAAGTGGTATAGTAGGGTGTGGTTCTCTCTTATGATTGACAGGCATGAGGTAGGGAACGTCCTTTTCTATGGTGTGTATGATTCTAATCATAGGCTCGCTCAATGCACAGTCATAAAGTGGCGACTGAGATAATCTCCCTGAACGTTCACTCCGAGGACACAGTCTATCTTATTCACCCAAAACCAGTCCAGGCTCGACCAACCCATTGCCTGCAGTTCCCAGACAAGATCCAGGAGGTGTTTGACCACAAAAAGGGGCGTTACCAGGGGTCGCTAAGGAAGGAGTGTCTTTCTGCACTCTTTGAAGTGGGTTGTGTGCTACTGGAGGAAAGTGAGGATCTCTGACTGATAACTACCCTATGCTTGCCTGCCTCGTTGGGACAGGAGAGGGTTTGTCTACAGGCCAACATCTTGTGTGCCTCCTGGAACACTCAACAGTCTCTGGTCATGTGATCTCATCACCCCTGTCTTGTGGGTGGCGAAGCAAGTCCAGAGAGATGCTGCTTGTCTGAGCTTACCCGGCATGCAAAGATGAAGTCTGAAGCTGGAGCTGGTCAGTCACTAGCCACATTCCAAAGATGAAAGAAGGAAAGAACTCACACACCCCTGGGAAGGGAGCTGGGAAGGCAGCTAGTGTAGCTCCCCACTGGCCGGCTGGTGTCTGAGGCTGGGCATGCGGGCTGAGGGGGATGCAGGAGTTGGACCGTTAAGAAACCAAGGATGCATTGGGAGAGATGGAGAACCCATCTGACCCTGCCGGGTCCTGCTGTAGACCCAGGAATCTAGTGCTCTGAAGAGACGGGGCTCTGATCTCCAGTTATTTATGGAGTTTGGTTTTTGGTTGTTTAGGGGTTTGAGTTCCAGCCTGTGACCCAGGTCCGAGGCGTGTTTACAGAGGCAGTAACAGCGAGGATTGTGGACATAAAACACAGCACAAATCATTCCTACAAGAGATTTTAACTCATTCTAAGCCTCTGTATCCAGGGACTTTATAGAAAAGAGGTGGATGATCGCTGGACAGGAATGGCCCAGAACTGGAGAAGGTGGGCAAACAGGTAGCAGACACAGAAACCAAGGAACTCTAGAAACTGTGGCGACACCAGAAGGAACCCCCAGGAAGCCTGGCCACCAAGCCCTCAGTAAAACCACACATTTTTGCCTTGTGGTAAGAACATAAAGCCTTCTCTTTGGGAATGAGGGTGTCCCTTAGGGGATAGAACGCTTACCTGGCACGCACCAACCAGACCAGGGTTCCATCACCAGCACTGCAAAGGCGGGGAGGGGCCAACTCCCTTTGCTATATTGAAAGAGACAAAACATTATATCATTATTATTATATACAGTTACATTATTATTAGAATCACCTGCATCCAAGTTACAGATTCCACCCGTTGCTACATGTGTGTATGTATGTATGTATATATATATATGTGTATATGCGTGTGTACATATATGTATATGTATTTATATTCATCATATGCACATACACATTGTATATACATGCATGCAGCTTTTTTCAATGACTGAGGAAAAACCCCTGTGTTCTGACTTTCCTTTTATCCTGTGTGGAAACCTACAGAAGAGGATCCAGGTTTATTCTAGGATGCAAAACCCTATGGACTGGTGACAAGACCGCTGTCCGCCAGCTTCAGTCCTCTCTCATTCCTAGGCTGCTAGCCTGAGCTCAAGGCTGTGCCGGGTGTTCTTGAGCCTGTGGCTTCCAGGGGCTCTAGCAAGGAAGACAGTTTTTTCCAGGAACAAGAAGTGAGGTCTAGGGTTCTAACTAGAGGCCAGTGTGGGCATTTGCCTGGGGTCTAAGCCAAGGCAGAGCTGACCTTGTCCCTCCCTCCCTCCCCTCTGCTCTCATATGTTTCCCTCTTTGAGCAGCCTTTCCAGGTCATAGTACTGTTCTCTCTGCCACCACGTATAGATGCTGTGTTTGGCTGGATCATTGGCTCTTCCCATGAGTGTCTCAGATTCCTTCCGCCAGGCAGCATAGCTGGGAGCTGAAAGCCAGGCATAGCCAGACCTCGCACTACCTGGCTGCCCTGAGCCTCCAGACTCAGCTCACCAGGGCCAGCACTGGCCTTCAGTGACTTCCTTCCTTATGTTTGGCGAAGCGAACCTTCCCGCTTTCCACAGCTGGCTGCTACACAGCCTCCATCCTTGTTCCTCTAGAGGCTGCAGAATGTGGCACCAAGCCGCTCACTTGCATAACTGGCCCCTATTCTAGGACCTTAAGCAGTTGTTAGAATCTTGGCTTTGTATGTAAAGGTTTTAATTAGCCTTTAAATCCATCCTTTCTAGGCTGCTCAGATGGGAGTGCACAGCAGAGGAGTGGCGGTGTGTACTGTCCGTACTACTACGTGTACTACGGTGCTGCACCTGTAGTGTGGAGCCTGCACCACAGGACCCTTCGGGAGCCAGGCAAGGGCCTGGCTGGAGACTTAAACACACAAAGACACACAGAGACATGGGCCATCCTTGAAACAAGAATCCCCTTTATTGGATACCAGAGCTGCTCATATATGGATCCTTAACTGATAGCCACGCCCCATCCAAACCCACCAGAAACCACTCCCTTGCCATCAGGAACTCCTGAGGGTCTCGTGCTCTGAGCAGCTACAAACACAGGAAACAAGTTGTTTTTCTCAGAGCAGCTGCAAGCATAACAAGCGATTACAGGAAATTCAGGGTCTGGAGGTCCACAGTCCCCAGCAGCGGTGGTGTAAGGATTTCTCCAAAGTGTTATCCTGTCTCCTGTCCTCATGGTATAGCTGTTGACAGTCAGAACTTGCCTCACGATGGTACCCTACTGTACTGGAGAGTTTAGTGTCAACTTGACCCGAGATAGAGTTATCAGAGAGATTTCTTCAGCTGAGAAAATGCCTCCATTGGATCAGGCTGGAGGCCAGCCTGTAAGGCTTTTTCTTAACTGGTGATTGATGGGGAAGGGCCCAGCCCATTGTGGGTGGTCCATTCCTGGTGATCCTGGGTTTTATAAGAAAACAGGCTGAGCAAGGCATGGGAACAAGCCAGTAAGCGACATCCCTCCATGGCCTCTGCATCAGCTCCTGCCTCTCGGATCCTGCCGTTTGAGTTCCTGTCCTGACTTCCTCCAATAATGAACAGGAATATCAAAGTGTAAGCCAAATAACCCTTTCCTCCCCAACTTGTTTTTTGATCGTGGTGCTTCACTGTAGCTCTAGGAAGCCTACCTAGGGTTTCATCGCCTTTATTCCAGTCCCATCCTGCTGACTTGGAACTCCCACAGAGTGACATCCTGTCACCTGATTACAGCCTTCTCTCAGCTCATTTGCCTTCAGGTCCGCAGTGCCTGGCACAGCAGAGACCTAGTGACATTCAGAAGGTGGAATGGAGGGGGCTAAGGCTGAGGGTTTGCCTCTTACCCTGGCCACCCACATTAGCAGAGCACATTGACACCGCACTATTAGCCTGAACTACACAGATAGTTACCTCCACCCCAGGAACTGGCCACGAGAAGCAGCTCTGGCTGAAGCTATCCTGGTCCCAGATAAATGTGCAGGGGAACCAAGGCCTCATGAACCTTTTTAAAGAGATCGTGGAGTCTGGGAAAGCCTGGCTCTGAGAACTTTCAGCAGATCAGAGGCCATTGGCCTTTAATGTCTCAGATCTCTTTCAATCCACTTGCTGTCCAGGATGAACCCAGACTCCCCACCCCACCCCACCCCACCCCACTGAATCTTCTGCCCTTCCCGGGATTATCATAACAATGCTCACTCATGGGGCTTCCCCAGTGGGTCTACTGCAATGGGCGGAGCACAGGCCCACTGGTGAATCCTGAAGCTCTGGGTGCTGTCCCCCTCCTGCACATGTACAGGGTGACATGGGAAATGTTGAGGTCATAGCTCAGGTGCATTTGTCCCCTAGAATGAATCTCCAGTGTTCGATCCCTGGGCTTATCCGGCCTGAGGGGTAAACACCTTACAGGGTCTTGCAGATAAATCCCAGGCACTACAAATTAATAGACAGCCAAGGATCTTAATCTTGAGTTTTCCTTCCCACAACCTAGGCACTCTGCAACCCCGAAACCATGCCAAGGCTGCTTTGACACTTGATGTCGTTTTCTCTTCCCCCATAAACCTGTAAAAGGCCGGTGCTGTTGCAGCCACAGCACCAGAGGCTGAAGCTTGGACAATGGGACTCTGCCCAAAGTCACACCTCAAGGGTGAAATGGGCTCTGTGTTCTGTCTCTGAACCCAGCGCCTGGGCTTTGATGTGCACGTGTGTAGCCAAGAACGCTCCTCTTACACCTGCTCCAGACACCTCCGAGTAAAGCCTCGTTACGTTACAGTAGTGGAGTCCTGGGTAAGAAAACTGGACCATCCCTCAGTCTCTGATTTCCTCCAGACAGATGTCAGCAAGCCATGATCCAGTTCCACCAGGCTGTAAATAAAGCTTTATTGGAACATGGCTAGCCACACTCATGTTTATGTACCCTGTGTCCTGCCTGCAAGTGAAAGACAAAGACCCTCACTTCATAGTACTCAGAGTACCCAAAGCGAGACAGTGTATCCCATGGCCTGCAATGCCAGGGGCCAGCCTAGAACGACAAGCACGCTGACAAGGTAGTTTAAACACCTCAAGGGGCCCCTCCTTCGTCCTTCTGGCCGACAGTGCTCGTCACTCTGTAAAGAGCACAGTTTCCACACAGACTGTCTGCCCTGCGCCCATCTGCCTGCTGGGCTGGAAGTGATAGAATATGAACAAGGCGTCTGTAGGACAGGGAACTTAAGGGCTTGTGGGAAAGTCAGTGAGAGGGGCTGTTATAGAAAACAAAGAACTCAACATGCACTAGTAATTCTAGCTTGGAAGGCTCAGGCAGGGAGATTACCTTGAGTTTGAACCTAACCAGGGCTTCACAACAAGACTTCATCTCAATAAGCAGAGAGAGAGAGAGAGAGAGAGAGAGAGAGAGAGAGAGAGAGAGAGAGAGAGAAGGAGAGAGAGGAGGGCGGAAAAGAAAGGGGGAGGAATAGATGCTCAGAGGGGGCTCCTCACAGCTGAGGAATTTCTAGAGCCAAGTGGCTCCAGTGAGTCTCTGCCAAGAGGAAGAGGCACCGATGGTCCAGCCTGGCGCTGATGGCTGAGCAGCAGTCTGGAGAAAAGAGCTCTGATCCCTTGATGGTTCTCACCGGGTGGAACAGGGTATGGGGGGGGGGCAAGCTCTGACGACCATTCATATCTCAGCTCTGCAGCTGTTGGTTATCAAGAACCCACCCTAGGCTGCCTTCACGCCTCATTTGAGCTCCTGCCTTACAGATGGAGAAACTGAGGCCTCTTTGCCAAGGCATATCTCCAGGCACAGAGGGTCCCAGTGGCGGGGAAGTTGCCATGGTAATGTCGTTGCTTACTGCAGTGAAGTCTCGACTGACAGTTCCTAGCATGAGGCCCATGTAGGCTGAAGCAGCCACATAGTCCCTTCTTCACCACGGCTCCAAGGAGAAAGAAATTAACCATACATCCTCCATGCTGGAAGTGAACTGTGACCAGCACTGCCCCTTTCTTTAGGTTTGGGCTGACGTTTCTGTTTGTCCCTCTACCTAAACAGACCTGACAGGTTTGTTCTGAGCATCTGCAATTATTATTAGTAAATAAGCGGTCTGGGGTTCGTCTCCAACCAAGAACCATTGCTTTATCACACCGGTTCCAGGCAGTAACAACACAATCAAATCCCTCTAACCCAAAGGAGCCGGTCACCCGAGCCAGGATCACTCCAGCCCAGGGGAGATGTCACCTGAACCTGGATCACTCCAGCCCAAAAGAGCTATTACCTGAGCCTACTTCACTCTAGCCCAAGAGAGCCGTACCTGAGTCTGGATCACTCCAGCCCAGGGGAGCTGTCACCTGAGCCTGGATCACTCCAGCCCAAGAGAGCTGTTACCTGAGCCTGGATCACTCCAGCCCAGGGGAGCTGTCACCTGAGTCCTGATCACTCTAGCCCAAGGGAGCCGGTCACCTGAACCTGGCCCAAAACTTTCCAAAGAATTTGAAAATCATGAGTTAATTTCTCCCGGATCCACCATGGTTTATGGCTGCATTTGATCACTAAGGTTGGTGGAATTGAGCCCTGAAGAAGGAATGGAGGGAAAGCCATCCCCCTCACCAGCTGCTGAATGTCTTCAGTGAGTGGCCTGAGGCCCCCAGTGTCCTAGATTCAAAGTGGAAAACAGCAGAGGTCCCTCTGGGCAGGACATTCCACGCACCTCCTTCAATTCCTTTCCTCCATGTCCGCATGACTTCCCATCAGCCACTGCCCTGCGGATGACTGGCTCAGCAATGCTACTATTTCCCTTGCCGATGATTGGCTGACAGTAAGCATGTGACCCAGTTCAGTAGTGACATCAGAGACTAGGTCCTTCTGGTCTGGGTCCACCCACACCACTGGGCTTGAGAGAAGGCCCATAGGTTAACAGAACATTATGCTTTTACAGTGGACCAGGTTCACATCCCACATTGGAGGTCCACAGCTGCCTGTGACTCCAGCACCCATACACCCACACCCACATACCCATTCACACCTACCCCCCCCACACACACACATAATTTAAAACCTCTTAAGAAAGAGAAACAGGGACTAGGAGGAAGAGGAGGGGCCGGATGAAAGAGGAGGAGGGGATGTGGAGGAGAGGGGAGCCGGAGGTAAAAGAAGAGAAGGCGAAAGGGAGAGAAAAAAGAATATGGAAATAGGAGAAGGGAGGGGCCAGGAGGGAGAAAGAAAGAGAAGGGGAAGGAAGAGAGGAGAGGGAGTGGGAAGACGAAGGAAAAGAAGAAGGGGAAAGTTCAAAGAGGGCGGGGTGGGGTAGACAGCATCCGCTCAGAAGCCCCCAGAGAAGGCTTTCTGTTATTCCCAGGCTAACAGCATCGTCTTGGGACAGGGATCCCTGGTCTCTGAGACAGGCTGACAACTTCCTGCCACCAGACAGGAGCAGATCCTTCATCTGACCCTGTCCAGCAGGGGGCGCTGTAACCCATTTCATTCCGGAGGTTTGGGAGGGACAATATTTCATTGGTGATTTAGTTGGCACTTTTCTAAGGCTGGAATATTCGAACCCTTGCCCCATTTGTTTCTTGGCCACATGGATTTCATCCATAAATTCCAATATTCCCCACTTTCTTTTTCTTTTCTTTCTTTTCTCCCACTTGGCATTCCTTGTGCACGTGTGAGGTCTCTAACAGTGTGGGTGTTATCCTAATGCAGTAACTGAGACAGCATCTCACTATGTAGTCCAGGCTGGCCTTGACTTATAGAAATCCCCCTGCTTCAGCCTCTGAGAGTGTTAGGATTTCAGATATGGCTGCCATGCTCTATTAAAGTGAGGAATTTTTTTTTTTTTTACTCTTTTACCAGTTTTTACTCGTTTTTTAATCTCATGATAAGGGCACAGACTGCACTGTCCTGAGAGGATTAAACGGCTTAATGCAAAATTTCTGGTGTGTCATCAGATAGTTCTTTCTGTTATTGACAAACTTTGAGCCCGGGAATGTGGTCCTGTGGTTATCTGGATGTGTGTGCATCGTTGGAGTTAGCTACAATCATTCTGTGAGACTTCCCTGTGAAGAGGCACTCACGGCCTGGCTGTCTTGCGTCTTGTGTGCTGGGCACCCCACCTGTGTGAGTGAACAACTCTGGGCATCACAGGACCCTACGGCTCTGCAATGGGGAGGTGCACTCACACTTCAGAGGCTGAGGCCAGTGGGGAATCTCAGTGAACAAGAGAAGTAAGCAAGGTGGTGCCTGTGACTCAGCTCTGCTGGACAGTGCTGCCAGGAGTATTCCTTCCGGCAGAACCAGACTCTGGACGCTGAAATAGACCAGCATCAGCCTGTACCAAGTTGTGTCTGCTGCTCATGGCTATGAAGCCGCTGTATAACAAACATCTTGAGGAACACTGAATGCAAGCAGTGAGCGACAGTGTGACTGTGGGGTCGGCCAGCTGTGGGTTCTCCACCTTTCTGTCATCCTTGAACAAACAGTCTAGGCATGGTCTCACGCTGTGGGCAAAGGCACGCGCACCATTTGAGTCTCTTCTTGCTAAAATCTCAGAGGCCAGCACGAGCCACATGTGGCAAAATAGGGCAACTCACCTTTTGTGACTGGATCTGCAGTCACCCAGAAGGCGCTGAGTGTTTCTGTGAGGATGTTCCCAGGGAGGAGGAAAAACCCACCCTAAAAGTGGGAGGTACCGTTCTCAGCGCTTGGGTCTCGGGCTAAATAAGAGCTGAACACAGGCGGTCATCACTTCCTGTTTCCTGACCGCAGATGTGCTGGGACCACCGACTCAAGCTCCCAACCACCACAGGCTCCCCGCCATGGCACACCGCACCCTTGGATGTGAGCCCAAACCAACCCTTCCTTCCTGAAGTTTATAACCACAACTGGGAAAGTGCCTAATACACAGGGGAGGGGCACGGAGGGGAGCACAGGGGCTATGGGGGGAAAGGGGGTAGGTACGGTGGGGCATGGGGGTACAAACCCAATGCCAAGGACAAGGGCCATAGACAGAAAAGGTTCTGGGGTCCTTGCTGCTGCAATCCAGCACATAGCAGCGCAGCAAGTGGGATAGAAAAGCAGGCCTGGATGGGCCCCACCTCTTGAGGCTGAGTTTTCACAAGGAACTCCCTCCTCGAAGTCCCCCATCCCCAGGCCACACCACAGCCATCCTGCTTTCTCTCGGCTCCTTGCTGGGGTCCAGAAATCTCCACAGTGCTGCCCTCAGCTGCTAGTGCAGCCTCTCAGTCTCCCTCTAGGAGACCCCACCAGCTTCTTCCGATGACCTGCTTAGTGACCAAAGCTGCTGCCATCCAGATGGTGGTGACACAGCTCTGCAACCCCCCCCCCCCAGAGGGACTCTATGGCCAGTGTGGTCTGCCAGGTCCTGCTGTGTCCAGTCAAACTTTCCCAGGCTCACTTAGCTCACTGTGAGCTCCAGTTCTCTGTGGGCTTTTCTGTACCAAGGCGGACAGTGGCTGGAGCATCAGCGTTCAGCAGAAAATAGGAAACTCCTGTCCGTGAATTCTTCCTAAAGGTCTCAGGGCTCAGGATCCCACGTGGACCCACGCTGTCTGTAGTGGGGTGCAGCACCCTTGCCTGGTGTGGGTGTAATGTGACAATGGAGAAATGGAGGTGCCCAAGGAAAGGAGTGGTTGACTTAAAGGTCCCTGGGCCTCTGGACACAGTTAGGAGACTCTGTGGAGTCTTCTCACCTGCACAGGACAGTCTTGTATAGAGACAAGGACGGATATGCATCGCCATCAGCTTCTCTGGCATCTGCCCTTATAGAAAATCCCCAGCTCTATGTCCCTGGGCATGGACTGAATCTCTCGGAGCTTTGGTCAGCTTATCTGTAACGTGGATTCGGTGATCAGCATTGCTCATCAGCTTGACTGGGTTAGAAATGTCCAGGGGTTTAGTAACCCCACTTCTGGGCGAGTCTGTGAGCTGCTTCTGGAGAGGTTAAATTGACAGCCTGACCCAGCTGATGGACCACAGGCTGGTATGGCAGGAGGTGGGACTGGAGGCATGCTCTTAGGAGCATTTTATCTCTGGCCTCTTCTTACACAGCCCCCTGTTACCCACCAGGAAGTGGGGTGCAGGCTCTCCCAGGCTCTCTCAGTACCTGCTGCCTTGTTATACCCACGTGCCTGGGACCAGGCTACCAAGACTGAACCCTGTGAAACTGGAAGGCATGAGCTGAGACAGTCCTTTGCCTTTTAAGTTCTTTGTGTATGGCACTCTATCACAGCCACCAAGAGAAATTAACTAATGTGGCAGCCCAGCGGTCTAACAGTGGGGAAGAGCTGTGAGCTCACACCCAGGAAGTCAGCCTCAGAATCCAATCTCACACAAGCATTAGCACCCATGCCTGCGCCCATGCCTGCACCCACACCGTCAGATGCACAGAGTGGGACTCTCTGGACAGTTTGGAGGGCACAGCTGTAGCCTTACCGGGTGTCAACTGAGGACAATCAAGGCGAGCCAGGTTCCTGCGTTCAGGACTCGCAGAGGAGCGTCCGGACCAGAGCTTTGCAATCTGCATTGCTGTCCTGGAGGTGACAGGGAGAAGCTTTCTCTGCTGAGGCTGCTGAGGCAGGGGGCTTGTCAGAGCAGGCAGCTGCAGAAAGACGCTGAGAGAGGACTTCTGGGCTGCCTGGCATGGGAACATTCCCTCACACCCGAGTCTCGTGACCCCAGAGCCATGTGTGACAGATGTAGAAATGGCTCCAGCCTTCTGCCCCCTCTGCACACATCTCCCATCGTGGCTCTACATCTCCTGCCCTAACAAATGAAGTCCATCTCTCTAGAACCCTTGACTCTGGTCTAGCCTTGTCACACAATTTTTGGCCGACTTCAGATGGTGGAAGCAACTCTAACAATCCCTAGCTCTGGTGGCAAGGGAATGGGGACACTAGAGTTCTGTCGTTAGTGACATTGGCCAGTCACAAAGAGCTAGCCCAGGTTATCCTGCTAAAAGAGTACAGCTAAGGGGCTGGAGAGATGGCTCAGAGATTAAGAGCACTGGCTGCTCTTCCAGAGGTCCTGAGTTCAATTCCCAGCAACCACATGGTGGCTCACAACCATCTGTACTGAGATCTGGCGCCCTCTTCTGGCGTGCAGGCATACATCGAGGCAGAATGTTGTATACATAATAAATAAATAAATCTAAAAAAAAAAAGAGCACAGCTAAGGCTGTCCTAGATCAGCTGATGCACACTTCCATCCCACCAGGAGGAAAGAACCACCTGGGTGACCTCCAGCAACACCCAGACACTGAAGAGGTTCCCCCTGGTCTGTAAAAGTCACCAGTCAACCCACAGTGACTGAAAGGGCTGAGGCTGCAAGTTCAGGGGTGGTTGTCATGCAGCAGTAGCTGACTGATACACTGTATGTAACAAAGAGCTCAACCAACTACCTCGTTCTAGAGACTAAGGACTTTACATCACCACCTCGGCTCTCACCAAGACCTACAGAGGATGCAGAGGCTCGGCCAAATTTATGTCAATTGTGCCCCATGAGTTGTATTTAATGGAGAAATCAGGATCAGAACTCAAGCCTACCTGATCTGACCTACAGAGATCCATTCTCAGAGTGAGGCCACCCTCCCAGCCTGACCCTGGCTTCCCCACAAAAACCTTCTCTAAACACCAGTGGACTTTTGTCCTAGGCCATTCTTCTACCTTAGTTGACTCTAACCTCCTTCTTCATCTCGAGCCCCACATGAGGAAACAACTCAGTAGAGCCCGATGAGACTAGAGGCAAGGGGTGTTGTTTGTTACGCAGCTCTACTGTAGTCATTGCTGGCTGAGACATACACCCATCTTGACTGGGCAGTGTTTTCCTGAATGTCCATCTCTGCAGCACTCTCTCTGCTCAGGTGAGTTCTTGGTCCCTCATTACATCAGCAAAACCTGGCACACAGTGAAGGTAGAAACCAGGGGTCTCTTTCCCACTAAGTGTCCAGTGTCGGTGGCATTAACATCAGTGAGTGTCTAGGTGCTGCAGAATCAGGTGATTTCTTTCTTTGTCCATTTTTCATGTGCAAAGCAATGGCTGCCTTGTGACACTTTCACACGTGCACGCCAGGTGCTTGGCTCACAGTCACCCTCCCACATCTCCCTGTTAGTGCCCATTTCATAAGGACCTCATTTAAGGTCATTTTATTGATTGTGAGTGTGTGTGTGCACACCTGCACCACAGTTTACATGTAGAGATCAGAAGACAACTTCATGGAGTTGGTTCTCGCCTTTCAGTTTTACACACAATCCAAGGAACCCAACTGGTCAGCCTTGGCGGCAAGCACCTTTACCCACTGAGCCATCTTGCCAGCCCGAGACGTTATTTGAGCAGTTACCACCTTCCAAGCACTGTCTCATGAGTTGAGAATAAAGTTCGGACAGAAGCCTTGGCCTCCGGGGCTGATATCTGCTGGGTGGGGTAGACAGCAAACAAAGCATGTAAGTATGTAGGATGGTGCACTGGGCAGCAGGCATTTTGAAAGCAGAAAGACGCGGAGGTGGGGGGCGGTATCATCTGCTGGTGGGCCGTGAGGGGGGTCTCGTGGAGGAAGCAGCTCGGAGCCCAGAGCACAAGGCTCCCTGTCTCGCCTACCAAAGCGGGTTAGCAGGACCAGTTCCAAGCGACTGCAGCCTCAGTGGGTGTGGAGGCAGCTTGGTTATTCTTAGCAGCGTGTTAGGGGAAGAAAAGGTCCTTTGGACAGCCAGGGCTCCTGACAGCTCCTACAGACAGGGTCCAGACCACAGGGTCCCCCGCTGCCAAGTCTGGCTCAAAATTCTTTCCGCCTGAGGTGGTGGGGAATGTGGAGAATGTGGGGTGCGTCCTAGGGGCCCCTTCACTGGAATTCCTGGGCACTCTTGCCATGGTGGTGGTCGGGAGTCGTGGGGGCCGCTCAACCCACCAGGCCTGCAGCAGGACCCTCAGGACCCCCAGGTCCCTCAGACTGGCACCCTGTGGCCTGCTCACATTTCTCTCTTCCCACAGGAATGCTCGCCTCCCTTGGGCTCTGGCCCCAGGGTGGGTGGGAGTTGCTTCAAAGGTCCTCCAGACCCAGCCTCGCTGAAGTATTAGAAGATTGTAGAAGAGCAAGACACAAATAATACTCAACCTTAACCTTCACGTCCCAGCTTCATCAGGGAGGCAGCCAGCAGAATGACGACAACTTAGACGGGCTGGAGCCCTGCTTGGGTGTCTCTAACGAGCTGCGTAGGTTTGCCCAGCTGACCATAAGCCCTATACAGTGAGATCTCTGTGGGGCTGACTTCATAAGTCCATTTCTTAGGACAAATCGGTAGTGTCTGATAAACTGCAACCGTGAGCCTTGCGCAGTATGACTCTTAGGAGCTGAGAGAACCAGGCGACATCTTTCTGTAGTCCTGGTGGTTTAGGACATTACAGTCAAGTCAGAAGGATCCTGCGGGGAAACCTCAATCTTCTCCTTACTACCCACATGGTCAAGAACTCTGGCCTCTCGTCTGTGGAACGGGAGCCACACAGACGTCGCTGCACACAACTGTGCCTTGAAGGAGGGCTGATTTATATGGTTCTGAGGCCAGTCTGGGCTGTGCAGTGAGTTTAAGCTAACGAGCTACAGAGTGAGAACTTGTCTCAAAAAAAAAAATCCTTAAAATGGGGCTGGAGAGATGGCTCGGTGGTTAAGAGCACTTGTTGATCTTCTGGAGAGCACAGGTTTGGTTCCCTGCACCCACGTGGTGGCTCACAACCCCCGTGAATCCATACAGAGGACCTCTGTGGCCCCAGGCATACACAGAGTGCACAGACATTCATGCAGGCAAACACATCATGGTATTAAAAAATCTTCCAAAGGCGACCGAAGCAGCGGGGCACCAGGCGGCCCCCAGGCTCCACACAATGGCAATTCTGCAACATTAGCCTGCAACACTTCCTAGGCAGGCTGGGGACCTTCACTTTTGAGACTTTCTCCGGGGAAACTTGTCTACTTTATCACAGTGTGAGGCCACCCAACACATCAGCCCAGGCCTCATACCAGGGAGCCTGAGTCAAGCGGAGCAGTCGATGACCCCAAGCTCTGCATGTAGGAGCCTTTCACCCCCCTCGACCCTCTCTGTGCCTGTCCTGGTCACTCGTGCTCACTAAGGTTTTGGGGTGTGACCGGTCCATAAACAGGAAAGACTTGTGGGCCCAAGGAGCTCTCCATCCTTGAGCAAAGTCCTTTGCTTTCTGTGTACTGTGCGTGTGATATCTCTCTCTCTCTCTCTCTCTCTCTCTCTCTCTCTCTCTCTCTCTCTCTCTCACACACACACACACACACATACACACACACACACACACACACACACACACACACTGTGCTGAGAGGACCCGACTCCCAGCTTCTGCACCTGCTCTGGGCAGGGCACACACACCTCTGTTTACACATTTCACGTGAGGTTGGGGATTGTGGAACGAGACACTTAACTGTCATGGGAGAGAAAAAATAAGGAAAATAATTTGAAGGATTATTGAGTGCCAAAGCCCAGAACGACTGAACAGGATGTCGGAGAGGATTTCAAGCAGAAAGGTCAAAATCTGCAATTTAAATGTGGAGATGGGGCGCCTTTCCCTGGTTATGGTTGAGACTCCAATTAGTAGACACGTGGTGTGAGACGAGGTATGTGTGTATGTCTACATGTGCGTGTGTATGTCTGTACGTCTCCGTCTGTGCATGTGTCTGTGTCTATGTGTGTGTATGTGTCTGTCTATGTGTGTGTGTCTCTGTGTGTTTGCCTGTGTCTATGTGTGTGTGTGTCTGTGTCTATGTGTGTCTGTATGTGTCTCCACCTGTGCATGTGTCTGTGTCTCTGTGTGTCTGTCTTTGTCTATGTGTGTGTCTGTGTTTATGTGTTTGTGTCTATGTGTGTGTGTCTGTGTCTATGTGTGTCTGTATGTGTCTGTGTGTGTCTGTATGTGTCTGTTTGTGGTCTATATTGTCTTTGTGTGTCTGTGTTTGTTATCTATATGTGCACCTGTGCGCCTGTGTGTGTGCCTGTGTGTGTGCGCCTGTGTGTGTGCCTGTGTGTGCGCCTGTGTGTGTGCGCCTGTATGTGCGCCTGTGTGTGTGTGCCTGTGTGTGTGTGTGTGTGTTGATCTACAAGCTCACTGCTGCATCTCAGGTTCTATCACCGTTTTGTTTCTGAGAAGGGGTCTCACTGGGACCTGGGTTTACAAATTTCCAGATTGGCCGCCATGATGGGATCCTTCTCCTAGGGAGGCAATTACAAACTCGCAGCACAACAACCAGCTTCTTCATGTAGGTGCTGGAGGTTCTTGTACATCATCACCTCAGCCTGTACTTTATTTTTATTTTATTTTGTTTGAGACAGGGTCTCTCCACGTAGCAATGGCTGGCCTGGATCTTACTACGTAAACCAGCCTAACCCCAAATCCTTAGTGGTCCAACCTGCCTCAGCCTCCCACGTGCTGGGGCTAACAGTGTGCACCACAACACCGGCTTCCGACTCTTACAGAGAAGCTCAAGAGTGTCAGACCTCAGCCACCATGCTTTGTTTCG